CCCCCCCCATGTGTGACTTACCCATTCTGCATCGTAACATTAGACAATTCTCAAGGCTTTCTGTTAGTCTCTGGGTTTAACAAGACAGCTACCAATTTAAATTATGCAAAACTGTCATTGTTATTCTGTGCAACGTTTTCAAATAACTTTTTTTTTTTTTGTATGTGTGTGTGTATTACAGCTTTCTGGCCACCGACCGGTTTTTCCTCGTACATTCAGGAAAGATTTACTAGATGAGATCATGTCTTCTAATTCTCAATTTCCTGTGAGAAAATACTTCTACAAGTTTCTGAAAAAGCAAACGGAACGGTTGGTTTTTGAAAACAGTATACAAGGTTAGTAATCTATATAGGGAAAAACAAACTTACACTCTCACTCTGTCTGGCATAAAAAGGCAACTTGGAATTTCCCGAAATATGTCTGTGAAGGAATACTGTTGGAAATAAATTGGTCCTCATGTTTTAGGTCATTTTGACCAAATTCTTTAAATAAGGCTTAAACAAATGTACAGTTGTAATGGATGTAGCTTGAAATTTTAAAAGGATGTAATTTTTTTTTGTCTTAGAAAGCAGAGATGGCACTGCAAATTCTGAGATAAATCAGAAACATTCTGAAAATTGGAAGGAAACCAAGAGGAAAAGGAAAGAAACGGAAGATCACAAATCAAAAAGAAGAAAACAAATTGAAGGTACAGAGACTGAAATAAAATCCAGAGTTTCCAGGAACCTTATTTCTCCCGTATCTGGAGAAAAACAAGCAGAGACAAGACAAGCCACGCATTTGGGAAAAAACAAGACTCAGAACCCAGATATTATGATAGAAGACACTGAATATTTATTAGAGCCAAATGCACTTTCAGGTGACTGCATTTCCTGTCTGATTTTAATTCTCTTTGCATTGAGGGAATGTCTATATGATGTATGTCAGCTTTCTACTGTGATGCAAAACTTGTATCTAGTCTTAATATTCTGTTAGACTTCATCAACTCTTTTGCATGAAGAACTATTTAAAAACGGATAATATTTTTTCTGTAGGTGTTGAAAAGGAAGACATGCTCTGGACAGAAAAATATCAGCCTCAAGATTCCAGTGAACTTGTAGGGAACAAGAAAGAAATTGAAAGGCTACACAGGTCAGAAGTGGCAGAATGGATCCATTCTTAAAATAACTCAGAACGTCATATTACTTGATTATGCTCAAAGAAGCAAAGTCATTATTTTATACTATGCTTGAATAACTCTCACAGGGTGTATGTTTGTGGCCTTTGTTTTGGTTTACTTACAAAAAGTTGCAGAAATAAGTTGGTGTTAATGATCTTTTGGTCATAGTTTCTTTTACAGTAATATCTCGGTAGCTTGTATGGTACAAAACAAAAACACGTATGAAATGATACATTAGGCTGTGGGATAGAATGAAATACTTAAGTAACTAATGCCCTTACAATTTCAGTAAAAATTAATTTTTTAAGGTTATTTAAGCTTACACTCTATGAATGAGAGAGAGCAACTTACCAGTACTTGTCTATACTTCCCTACAAGCATGCCTGATCCTGATCTTGATGCACTGCCTCTGCTTTTGACAGTAATTTAGCGCTAAAGTCCATCTAATATATTGTGCTTTCCATTAAATTTTCTGTATGGATTTAAGTTATTGTTGTGGCTTTTACGTGGAATTTAAAGATCCATTTGACAAACAACACTAAACTATGAATGATAAAGCATTTTCCTCAGTTTAAGTAGCTTGCCAAGTGACTTGCTTTTATATCAATCAACTAATAGAACAGAGAATGAAGAAGGAATCCTTTTTTACAAAAGAATCAAACTAACCCTGACTAATTGTGTGGGTTTGGTTTTTTGTTTTTGTTTGGTTGGTTTTTGGTTTTTTTAAATCTGAAAGGACTTGATAAGTTTCTGAGGGGTTTAACAAGTGGCTGATGTCCCCTAGTTTTATGTTCTGTTCCATCTGAATTTGGTTCACTTTATTCAGCAGTAGTTTTTATTTTTTGTTTTGTTCCTTCCTTTTATAGTTGGTTAAAAGAATGGAAAAAAAGAGCTGAGTGGGAAGAAAAAAGAAATCAGAAAGGGGAAAAGGAGGACAAAGAGCATGAAGGTGCTGATAGAATTAAAAATAATATATATAGCTTCTTTTTGTTAAAGTTGGCATAAAAATTACATGAATCCTTTCTTTTTTTTTTAAATAATTCTGCAGAGTCTTTGGACAGCCTTGACTTTAAAGATAATAAATCTAATATTGAGGAAGAGACTAGCCTTTGCAATACAGTTCTCATAACTGGCCCACCAGGAGTGGGGAAAACTGCTGCAGTATATGCTTGTGCTCAGGAGCTTGGTTTTAAGGTTTGTAGAGTCCTTTCCTCAGTGCCATTTTTCTTATTTGTAACTAGTGATATGAAAGCATTCGTAATACAAGGTGTCTACAATTTTTTTTAATGTAAATTAAATACCATTGCAGATATTTGAAGTCAATGCCTCTTGCCAGCGTAGCGGTAGACAGATACTGTCTCAACTAAAAGAAGCTACTCAGTCTCATCAAGTGGACAAAAAAGGCATTAATGCACATAAGCCTTGCTTTTTTAACAGTTGCAGCAGTGCCAAGTCACCAAGTAAGTTTCATGGTTATATGGGTTTTTTTGTTTGGTTGGGGGTTTGGGTTTTTTTTTTTGTTAGGGTGGGTTTTTGTTGTTGTGGGGTTTTTTTTGTTTAAAGGAACTGAGTTCCCAAAACAATTTTTAGACATCAGTTGTTTAAAAAAAGACAGCAAATTTCAGCTTATGTGGCCATAATAATAAGAAATGCTCTGTTGGTTAACACAACTACATACCAAATTAAATAATGACTTTATCAAAATGACCGACTCTTGATTATCTTAAGTTATTTCTGTAGAGTGGAGTAAATGTTATAGCACTTGAATAGAAAGTTGAACAGAAAGCATTCCCTATAACAGGAGGAAAGTAAAATAAGCAGAAATCAGCACAGTAAACCTGTCCTGTACTAGATACAAAACTGGGATTTGCTCTAAATTTCCCTGAGAAATATCAGTTTGAGATTACATTTCCAGCTTAAATTTATTATAAAACATATCTTGCAGAAAAAATGTATTCTCCAAAGAAAGTTATTTCACCAAGAAAACCTCCATTGTCACCAAAAGGAGCAGGATTAAAACGAAGCTTGCCCCCTAAAACACTTGCAAACTATTTCAAAATTTCTTCCAAATGTAAAGGTAATGATGGAGCTGTAACATCTCAAGAAAAAAATAAAGGTAGGTATCACTATTTAATAATTAGTTACCTTTGGAGACGGAAATCCTACGCTGCACTACTATATATGTGGAGCTGTGTGGAGAAAAGAGTAGAGCACACTTATTACACTCCAACGGCTGGCAAGAGTTACTTAATGCATCACAGGTACACTTAACTACATAGAAAGTAGTCATTACTGTGTATTACTGGAGGGTTAACTAGGGTACAGACTATCTGAAGTTCAGTAGGCTTTCCTTAGTTGTTTGGTTTTTTGGTTTGGGGTTGTTCCCCCCCGCCCCGAGTCTTTAGGTAAGAGAAGATAAATTAAAATCTGTCTCTAGAAAAACACACCTTTGTATTACCTCAGTGCCTGTTTCAGGTTGGTGTGGAATGGTCATTGTGCTAGGTGGTGTGTATATATCTCTCTCTCTATCTCTCTCTCTATCTCAAAATTACTGCCACAGAATTAAGAGGTCCTGTAAAGCCAGTAAATGTTTTATTACAGACTGTGGATTTTAATACATAGAAAGGCACACTGAAATCTTTGAGTCTCTTAATATTGGAAGGTATATTTCTAAATGTTTCATGGGATCGAGAAGTCTTAGACAAGTTTTTAGAGAGGAAATAATGTATTTGGACACCCAGTGTTTTTGCACAGACAGTACAGAGGAATGCATGAGCAAAGTGCTGGACTGAATTGGGGCAATCGAGTCTAGTCCTTGTCTTTTCAGGCAATCATATTGCACTGTTCTGAAGGACTTATCTACTCCGTGCCCCTGAGACATCATAGGTCACAAACAGGTTAGGTGCAGAATTAATTCTATAAATAGTTAGCCCTTTACCAAACACTGTTGAATTCCCAAGAAATTTGTTGCAATTTTTTTTAAACGAAACATCAGAAAAGGATGTAGGTCAGATTTCTAAGGTTTTGTGTCAGTGTAGATTTTCTTAAGCAGTTTACACATGGGGTGTTTTTGAAACTAGTGTCTAGAATGCACGTTAAATGGTTTCCGTCCTCCTTTACTTCCTGCTCAATTCTTTGCCCATGCGCAGGAAATACTCAGAATTCACGTGAAGAAAAGAAAGATGCTCAAATTAAGTCAATAAACAAAGAAGTAGAAGGAGGAGAACACAACAGAAAAAGTGCAACATCTCTCATTCTTTTTGAAGAGGTAAAATTAATGTGAAATACATTGATGTGAACAATACGTCATACCATTATGTTTAAGGAGTTCAACTTTTCTCCCCTTCGTCCTTGAGACTTCTAGGTAGATTCAAGTGTGAGGATTATCAACTTCTTAAAAATTAATTCAGTGTTTGATGATTTCATCCTCATGAGTACTTTTCTTAACCATGGATCGTTATTTTAAAAGATAGATGATAGTTTCTTTATCAACAGTTGTTCACTGTTAGAACAGTTTGCAGGATTCTGCTAATTTAATTCCTTTGATTAGGCGAAAAGTGTTGGTTTATAATTTTACACTACTTACGTGCACGGAGACACTGTAAAAGTCACCATTAACACCCCAGTAATTACACTATCTAAGCCCACATTAAATTCTTCTTTTGTTTAACCTCTTGCCCAAAAATGTAATTGAGGCTTAAACTAAGAATACAAAATTGCAGCCAAGAATGTAATTTTAAGTAAGTAAAGGAGGTATAGCAATGTTGCCAACTGTGGGTTGATCCTACAGATCACTGCTGCAACTCTGTTAAAAAGAAAAAAAACAAACTTCAAAAGCCACCTGGACAGAGTCCTGGACATGCTCTAGGTTGACCCAACTTGAGCAGGGGGGTTGGACATGTTGACCTCAAGGTCCCTCCAACCTCAGCCAGTCTGTGATTTTGTAAGCTTCAGCACGGAAGACTGTGATCAAAGTGTTGTGTGCTAACAACTGAACTTTACCTGAAGCTTGTATACTGTCATTGCCCATGCATGTTCAAGAAACCTGTATTAATGTTAAGTCTTACTCAGTCATTAACAGTATGACTGCACTCACAGCTTGTAGCTATTGTTAAAGCTATTGATGTTTTGCACTTCATTTGTTTCCTATAGGTAGATATAATATTTGATGAAGATGCAGGATTTCTAAGTGCAATAAAGACATTCATGGCAACTGCAAAGAGACCTGTAATTCTTACTACCAATGGTGAGTAGGGTTTGTTACAGTAATTAGACTTTACAGACAGAAGAGCCTCTTTTAATAAGATGCTTTAAATGGTGATGGTTGAATACAGCTCCTAGATGTAAAATTAAATGAGTGGAGACTATAAAGCGAGTATTTTAGTATTTGAATAAAGATACTGGCTGCTCTAATGGGTAGAGGAAATAATTAGTTTTGAACATAATGTCGTGACAGTTCACTGATACCTCTTTATATAGATCCAACATTCAGCTTAATGTTTGACGGCTATTTTGAAGAGATCAACTTTAGAACCCCTTCCTTGGTAAGTCTGTGTTTGGAAATGCAGATATATCCTAAGCAAGTAATTGTCAGCTAATTTAAGTTTGAAATTTAAATGTTGGTGTAGGTTTATATTTATCTGATGTAATATATCTGTTTCATCAGAAGACTATTTCCTCGGGTTTTGTGCAAGGATGTGTAGGATGTATTTGTCTTTCCGTGTAAAACTTTTGTTACTAGCCTGGAAGATTTATTTTCTTAACCATTTAGTGTTTGAGAGAATTAAAATAAGAACATCACTTCGTCCCTTAAATTAGTTTTTAGGATGTAGTAAATAATTTCATAGATGATATATCTAATAGATTTGATCTGAAGGCTGACTATGCTGGTATTGATTCGTTCATTAAGAAGTATAGGAACTATTCTAGAAATATTATGGGTTATACCTTTAATGTAAACACTAGTATTCTGTATAGCAAATAGTTTTATTTGCAACTATATTATATGAAAAACCTAAATAAATGAGAATCAGAAGGAACTAATCTTTGAGAAGGGGAATTTTTTTTAATGTGAAATTGAAAATCTTTTGGACTACCAGATGATTGCAGAGTTAAAAGAAAGAAAGAAAAATCTTTAAAGTTAATATAGTTCACTAAAACCTGTTCACTGGTGATGAGAAGCAAGGTGTATGTGGTTTCAGAAACATAGGCAGAATATGTGTGTTTTGTTTGGTTTTAGTGAGTTGAATTTCTAAATTTAACTTAATTCTCTGATTGGCCTGTTTAGATTTGGTACAGTATTCTGCTTTTCTATCAAGGTTTTAATGTAACTGTAATCTAATTTAATAAACTAATCTTCTGTATTAAAAGGAAAAATGTATTGCAAGCATAAATAGAATAATTTGTTTCTGTGTGACTATTGAGTCTGATTGGTAAGAGTTGTTTTCAGTGGTCTTTGTCTAACTTTTGTTTAGATAAATGCTGCTAGCTATCTTCAAGTGCTGTGTCTGGCTGAGAATCTACGAACAGATGTAAAAGACTTAGCTGCTCTGTTAACCACTAATAACTGTGATATCAGACAAAGTGTTCTCTACTTACAATTTTGGGTTAGAAGTGGAGGTGGATGCTTGAAAGACAAAAGTTTGGCACATCATGGTAGGTTGATTTAATTTAATTAAAAAAAAAAATTTCTCCATTTTAACATGAATTTGATTAAATCAAACCATTCTTAGACATGTATGAATAGATGGTAACTTTCTGTAAGACTCCTAAACATTTGGGTAGAGTTTTGAGGGGCTTTTTTTGGCTACTTCAAAGCCTTGTATATATGCATACAGAACTAAAAGTTTTCTTTTTATTGCAACTGTTTATTACCCATGATTATGGTACTTAATTATCTCCCTTTCCTCTTCTGAGTAGCTGTCGTGGTTTAACTCCAGCCGGCAACTGAGCACCACACAGCCACTCGCTCACCCTCCCCCCGGTGGGATGGGGGAGAGAATAGCAAGAGTAAAATTGAAGAAAACAAAACAAAACAAAAACAACAACAAAAAAACTTGTGGGTTGAGATAAGAACAGTTTAGTAATTGAAATAAAACAAAATAGTAGTAGTAATAATAATAATGATAAGAAGAATATACAAAGCAGGTGATGCACGATGCAATTGCTCACACTCGACAACCAGTGCCCAGCCAGTGGCCCAGGCAGTGGCCCCCTGGCCACCTTTCCCGTAGTTTATATACTGAGCATGGTGTCATAGGGTATGGAATATCCCTTTGGGTCAACTGTCCTGGCTGTGCCCCCTCCCAGTTTCTCGCTGGCAGGGCATGAGAAGCTGAAAAGTCTGTGACTAGCGTAAGCACTACTTAACAACAACTAAAACATCAGTGTGTTACCAACATTATTCTCATACTAAATCCAAAATACAGCACTATAGTAGCTACTAGGAAGAAAATTAACTCTATCTCAGCCAAAACCAGGACAGTAGCAAAATTGGGCAGAGCAGGGAGCCAGTAGTAGTTTCCCTTCAACTCAGAGTTTGCAGTTCTTTATCCATTTAGCTGAGTTGTAGGTAATTCATCTAGAAGAAGCAGAACTGAAAAAAGGAGAAAAATTGGACACCTAGCAAGCAGGCAGCAAGGGTAAGAACTTGGTCCCAAAGGATACAGGAAGGATCTTCAAGAGGTGTGGGTGAGTGAGACTGCGTGTGAGCGAGCGACAGAGAGAGTCTAGTGGGGCATAAAAGGAAGAAGAGACTATTTCAAATGGTTACTTGCAAAGAAGGGAGAGCGGGCAAATTGGTAACGCTTAAAGAAATGAAATGGGGATGATGAACAGGGATGGGGATGACGAATTTCAGTCGCTATATTCATTCAGAACTGCAGCAAGAGGCGACAGTTATGGTATCTTTTATAAAAGGAATTGAGGCAAAGAGGGAAAAAAATTGATTTCATGATGCAATTGTTTCTTTTCAAGTAAAGCATGTTATCTTTGTGCAGGAGGAGATGAGACAAATAAAGCAGATCATGTAATTCATTCTGAAAAGACTACTGATTCCAAGATTGATTTTTCTCAAGCTGATGCGTGTCTTCCGGAGTTTCCAAAATGTGATACAGGCTGTGTAGAGACATTGCTTGGCCTTAAGAATATCCTGTTGCCTTCAGAAGATCTGTTTACATTTCTTAAGGTATTTTTGTAGTTGACTAGCTAATACTTTGAATGATTGCAAGATAATTGAGTATAATCATCGCTATGAATAGCATCATCTTAGAAGCAAATCTCTTTGAAAAGGTTTGTTGTAGAAATTAGGGGATTCTATTGTTACTAACCAAAATCTGAACTGGGACAGTGTCCCGCAAGCAAAACAGTCCCTCGCCTCATAAACACAAAGCCAGGAGTATGAGATTTTCTGTAATAACATTTTTTTTTAAATTATTTTAATGAATTAATAAATTTTTCACTATTATTGTTTTACAGCACAAAATCACAACCATGGAGAAATGGAATAAATTGATGCAGCTTCTCACAGAATTCCAGATGAAGAAGGTGGATTTTATGTATAGTAATCTTGAACTTATTCTTCCTTTACCAGTGCAAGTTCTTTCAAACCAATCTGAAGCCTCTAACTCTATACTTGAAAGGACTACCATATCTGTTTTTTCTTCGAAAAACAGATCTACTAACAGTTACTGCTCTGGAAAAAGTAGTCCTGGAAAAAAGTCTAAAAAGACAAAGAACCAGAAAAGGCTTGATACATTGGATGATAGTGACTTATTTGATCCTGGACTGAACTATTCAGCTGAATTCATAACTTTGCCATCAGATAGTCCTACATCATGTGCTGAAGTGAATAAAGAGGAATCAAAATTGTTGATGAATAAAGAAGAAAAAGAAATTAAAACTAAAACCTCAGCAAATGAGAAAAGGTCTGCTCTTGTTTTTCAGTGTCTGAATTCACTGACTGAATTTGTGGAGCACATGTCTTTCTTGGATTGCTGTGTAAACACTAACACCAAGGAACCACTGGAGTTTTCTAAAGATGAAGGATTTAATTGGACAAATGGCAAAATCAAAAATGGTCTTTGTGATGAATTCAGTATAGAAAATACTGATTGGTGGAGCTCCCAGAGCTGCAGTGAAATAAAGGCAGCTATTGAGGCGCTCAGTTTTAACAAATGTTCTGTTGATATTTCACAAAACTTGGAATCCTCTTTGAGTACCAGTAACACACCTGAAAGTGATCAACTGGAGGGGCTTACTTTGCATATTTCAAACACAAGAAATTATGTATCCTTCAGTCAGTCAGCTGATTCAAGGTAAGACTTTGCTTAATACTTCTGGAATATAATACAGTTATTTGTCAAGAAAAGCATTTCACAGGGTGTAGGACTGTTTCAGATACTATGTATACACATTCATACAAAGGTGAACGTGTCAGTATGTCTCAAAACACTGGAATACGTTGTTCACTTTGCTTACATTAACTGCTTGGCAATCTCTGCAAAAAGTGACTTTCATTTGAATAGCCCGACTATAATGTTATTCAGGAATGGTAGCCTTAATCTGGTCTGTTTACTTTAGAAATGAACAAACAAACACCACCACCCCCCTCAAAAGAAAAACAAAAACCTAAAGGAATGGCTTTTTCAAGAGAGACAGGTGGACTGAAATGGATTCTGCAAGTACTAGACATGCAAATTTTTCATCCAGTGCCTGGTCATATTGAGTCTTTATTAAATGCGTAGGTGTTGCTTGATGAAGACCTAACAAAATTCAGAGCAAAGTTATTGCAATTTTTTTTGTAGTAGTTTATGCTAACAAAGAATAACCTTTAATATATTATAAAAGATCAAAGAATACATTGCTGCTAGCAAGTGTGGATATGAAAGATTGTTTTTAAGATAAACAAGTCATCATACATGAAATTGGCATAATAAGTGAATAAAACCTATTCACGTGTCTGAATAGGAAAATAGCTTAGACTTATTTCGGTAAGCCAGTACCCAAAGGAGCAGTGTCAAAATGGAGCTAACCATCTAACCTGTGACCAAGTTTGGCCAATATATCATGAGTTATACACTGGATCTGATATTGACATTCTGGAAATACCAATTGTATGACGCTTTTTATTTTTGAAGACCACAGATGCTTTTGGTTACGTTGTCCGATGGATGTACTAAACCTCACATATGTAACTAGATTGTGAAGACTTTCCCAGATTAGACTCCGTAGTTAAGCTAAGAGCATTGGCCAAACAAACTACTGTCCCTCATGTTTCTGTCTCTGTGTGCAGCTTCGTGATGCTGTATAAGCAGCACACGATCAGAATTTGCAGGCATCTAATCCATTGGGACGCAGTTTTGGACATCATTTTGTTTAAGAGTTTTAAACCAGTGGATTTGATCTTAAAGGAACAAAATAGGGACTGCACATTCTTGAACAAGAAACAATAAAGCTTCATTCTCCATTTCAGCATTCACAAAAAAGCACAGAAGAGGCTGGCAGTCATCAGAACAGTATTTTCCAGAAGTCCTTTAAACCTGGGTAATAAGCAAGCCAGCATACTCGAATACCTCCCCACTCTTCGCAGTATCTGTAGGTCTGAGAAGCTTAAAGAGCAAGGGAAGACTAAAAGAAGGTAAGTTTTGGTTTTCCTAAATCTTGCTACATTTCAATTTACAAGGTAGTTAAAAATTTTAATAAAATATTTTGTCAAATAATTCTAGACAAGAAAGGTGAACGTTTGCCTCTTTAATAAGTGTTGCCTCGTATTTGGAAATAACTTTGTTCCCTTATAGTCACTTTTACTTTTCTTTTTACAGGTTCTTGCATTATCTTGAAGGGATTCATCTTGAAATACCCAGACAAATGATAAACGATCTCTCTTTGGACTTCCCTTAGAATTGCTAACACCAGAAATACTTTGTGCCTAATGGTGGTATTCTCACCATAGTTTGATTTTTTTTTTTTTTAATTATTATTATTTTTACCACATTATTTTATTGTATATTCAGAGCCATTTGTATATTAAATTTCTATAAGTATTTAAAATAATGTATATATCTATTGTCATGATAGTGCTCTCCACAACTGAAATGTGGGTTTGTTTGGTGCTTGTCCAATAAGTGCATTTATAACATTAAATGCACTAACTAATCAATGGGGACTACTTCATACTATCTTTCTCTGTAATTTGTGTATCACATAGCATGAAGTCCTTTTGTAACGACCGTCACAACTTCCACAGCAAAGTTGCTTTTTTCTGAGGAGACCGTTTTATTAAAATAAGCTTGTTTCTTTCTGAATTTGCAGTTAAATGTTAAATACCCCAGGGTGGGAGGGGGCAGGGAAAGGAGGAGACAAGTCTTCTAAAACGTAAATGACTAAAAACAAGTCTTCACAATAATGACAGAGTAACAAAGTTTTTACAAAGCACTATGCCTCAGTGTACATATATTTGTATACATTCGTTTAACTCCATTATTTACAGCTGTCAGATCTGCATGTTAATCTCCTAAAAAGGTAGAGAAATTATTACTGTAGCTCAAGATGGACTCAAAGATTAGGCAAGATTTTGTAAATAACAATTATTCCAGTGTTACTTTTGGTTTCAGTAATATTTAACTACTTTTAGTCTTGTATATTGTGTTCTATTTTTATACTTCATTTTGTATTTGACAAGACTTCAGCCTGATTATTTGTGATTGAATCTGTTTTTATACAACAATAAATTTGTGAGACTTTGCTACAATTCTGAATATTTCTGTTGTATGAAAAGTAAGACTCCTAAAACTTAATGTTTTCAGTCCATAAAGATGATGTTTAAGGGTTTTTTAAATGGAAATATTTCAACCATGTATACTTTCACCTTTATATTGCAGTTGGACTGTTCTTCAAACTGAGTCAGATTGGTGCCATGCAGAGGTACTCCACTTACCTCACTGTTTCTGTAATAATAAGGAAGGCCATTTTCTAGTGCATTCTGTTCTCATCTTACATTTTTCATGTCTTAAAGATGTTCAGGAATGAGAAGTATTTATGAAAACAGTAAATTATTTTAAGCTTCCGCATCGTAGATAATAATCTTTATAGCTTACTCTTTCAGGAGCCCAGAATTATCAAATAAGAATGAAATAAAGTGGTGGCTGTTAAAATCTTAATGGGTTGTATTGTTGTATCAGTGGTCTAAGCAACTCCTGTATGGTTTTTTTGTAAAAACAAATGAACAAAAATTTCTTAAAATTTTTAAAATAAAAAGGTAAAAGTATATGTGTTCACTGCTTTATAAAGGCAATCTCAATTTAACTAGATTACAGTGGGGACCGACATAAATTAACAACAGGCCCTATAAAGTAGTATTATTTTAGGAAATTCATTGATAATTTAAAAAATATAAAGTAGAAAGCAATGGGAGACAACTTACTTTTGAAGTCAACTCTCTGGTTCTAATAACCGCCTTAAGAATTCTTTTTAATAGAATATCCAGGCTATGGTGTCCAAAAGGAGTCCAAAGGTAAGGTGGAATTCAAGTATTTCACTTCTTATTAAGATACTTGTGTGCAATTACCACATAAAAATAACTGAAGCCAGTTTGAATGAATGATAATCTACTTGGGATGATTTATTTGAACTCTGATAAACTAGCAACTTTGCATTTTTATGCATCAAGTATGAGCATCTTTTGTATGCTAGAAGAAAGCAAGTTTCCATGAGGGATGGACTGGTCTTGAGGAAAACAGATCTGGGGCTGGTTTTGATTAACTCAGCTTGAAAGGAAATGCTTCACAAGATCCATTCCAGTACTGTGGAAGTCTCCTACCTTTGCTTCAAAATGTTTTCCTGCAACAGTTTGGGCCCTTCTTAGTACTTTAAACTGCCCATCTAGCTTGCTTATGTGTCTTATATAGTAGGGCATACAACATTGCTTCCACAGTGTGAAAGTGTAACGTTAGAGGCAGAAAAAAAAAAAGCTTCTCTTTGGAGCAGAAAACACCTTTTCTTCCAAAGCATAAAAATCGGCTTCAGGCATCTTGGGAATGACTGAAGATACCTGGAAAGGAAAAAGACAAAACCCATGCCTGCGATCTACCTAAACAAAAGAATTCAGTGAAACCAGAAGTAAAAAAACCCTGGAGTTTCACAATTACTCTACACCCTATTTAAGCAGTAGTTACTACTAGGTGTACAATAATTTAAAAACAACAAACATGGAAATTTCAGCCAAGTTTCAAGCTTTTCTTTCTTTTTACTGTCATTCCAGTATTGCTTTCTAGAATGTAAATGAAGGTGATGTTATTCTACAATCCCATGAGTAATACAGAAAAAAGCAGTTAAGCCTTAGGCGTGTTCTTGCAAGCATATGCTGTATTAATAGTAATGCAGAGTAGAAGTAGGAGGATGGAAAGATCCCTTTACAAGCAAGACTATCTCAGTCTTTGTAAAAGTCCTGAAACAGGGCAAGATGTATCTTGACAGCTGAGGGCTGGGAAGGACGTGTCCCTTGCAAGTTGCAGAAAGACACTGAAGCTCAGCCATCTGAGTACGACACTCAGAAAAATCGTGGGGCTACCGACCACTGCGGTTTTTTGGTGGTGGGTTTATAGGTTGTCTTGAATATAAATAACCATTTTGCAAATGTCATACAGATTCTCTTATATTTTACAGAATTTGTAAGGACACCATAAAGATTAAGCTAGCAAAAGAGCTTCAATGTATGGCTCGCAAGAAAATGATCTTTGGGGACAATTAAATCAATGTTTATATTGTAGTATAGCAGTTCTTAAAAGGTTAAGTGCTGAAAAGAGAGATTCTATGTAGGTAGTTGAACAATACTCAACTTTTCAGATACTCTGCTGCTGCTTGTTTCATGACTTCCCAATATTTAAAAAAAATAAATGCTATTTAGTGCCTGAAAGGATAGAAAAAATGTGTCAGTACTTTCAACTGATAACACATCTCTAGTATTTCATCATCTGCAAAGTAACTAGCTACACAATGTTTTTACAAGATGATACCTAAACTTTACTAAAGAAAAATTGCATATTGTAGTGCACTATAGTAATGCAAGTTAACTATGCGAACTAAGTTTAACCTGAAACTATAGTAAAATGAAAAATATTTTAATATCTTTCATCTATTTCTGATTTAATTAATCTTGAAAATCTTTCCCTTACCTTAAAATTTTCTCTTTTGTCTTTTTCTTTCCTTAGATAAACTGAATGTTAAGTCACAGACGTTTTGACATCGGCTTTATCTTGGAAGAGGGACATTTTCATTAGGCTTTGCAAATCCTGAAATACTCCGTTTTCCCTGTGTTGAGTTATGCTGACAGGTTTTTTTCCTTGCAGCACCAGATACTGTGTTGAGCGCTCGCAGGCTGGCAGAGCTCCGCCGAGGAAGGCCTACCGCCCCTGCTGTCTGGTGTATCAATGCTTTGATCGATGTCTGGTGAGCGGATGCCGTTCTGTTAGCTAGCAGGCTTTTTAAAATTACTGTTTTTAGAGACAAACCTGAGGTGGAGTTGAGGCAAACCTGTAGGTGCGTGGATGAGCCCTCCTTCTGGAAACAGGACCCTTAGTAATGAATTTTCAGAGCAGAAACTCGTAACTCGTTGGGGGAGGCTTATCCTAGCTTGATTCAGTGCTGTGCAAAGGAAAAGGCTTGTCTCGTTGTAACGAGCCGCGGTACGGGGCTG